ATATTTACTTAAAAATAATTTATACATTTTTGTTTATATAAAATTATAAATTATGTTTTTAATAATGCCTTGTTATTATATTATCGTCATACTTGTTTGGAAAATATTATATTTGTTAAAATTTAAAACTTTCTATTTTCTTGTAGTAACTTTTATCACTTGGATATTTTATTTGAATTTAAAATTATTGTACTGTTAAGCATTTATCTCGTTGGTTGGATTATTGTATTGGCTAATCAGCAACAAAGTTCCAACAAAAATCGTTAAGAGATAGAAACTTTTTGAATTAATGATTTTCTTTAAACTTGCATTATAATGTTGGCGATATTGTAACAGTTAGGGACTTCTATATACGAGCTGTCGAATATCCAAACATATGATGATGAAGTGACAATTTGACGAGAATCAAATTTGTTAATATTTCCAATCTGTATTTCTAGTAATTTGCTATCATTTATAGTGACACAAAGCAGAACAATAAAACATCAGAAATATAACGTTATAATATAACGTTCACGTCTTAAAGAAGGTACGATATGATTGATTTGTATCTCAAAAATTTACTACTTCATGTGCCAGCTGTGAAATGTCACGTCCGGTGAATAATGATTAATTTAGAAAGATATATATTTATAAAAAATACAAAACAAATAATACTATTAAAATCTGTTTGTAATGTGTAACTTTTTAATACTAATTACGTAACAAAATATTCCTTTGTATGAATAATTTATTTATCATTTTCAATGAAAGTAAAAATAAATGCTATTTTTACAACGTATTAGTAATTTTTAATCGTTATTATTTATTTATAATTAAGCGCAAAACAGGTTATGCTGAATGTAATGCTTGTGCTATAGGTTATGTTTTACGTTGGGTACAATAGTAATTTAAAATTATAAATTTAACATTCATAATTTGTAATATATAAATTAAAATAGAATTCTATTTTATGTATATGCGATAAATATGCAGAAATGCTAATTATATTTATGAAATTCGTATTAAAAAGCCTTTTAAAATGCATATTATAAATTTATGAAGATATTAAGTAAAGTGTACTTTACAAATAAGAATTTTAGAATACAAATTACAGTAATTTAAATATTATTATATGTTTCAGGATATATAGGAATTCTTTTCCTTTAGAAATGTGCATATACAACATGTATAGGTACTTCTTTAAGAATTTCATACATGAAAACAATATGAGTACAAATTATTAGCTATTGCATCAATTTGTTGAAAACAAATATTATATAACATTTAAGATGCCACAAGTGGATGGTGCTGCAATTTTAATATTGAATAATCAGAACGGTGCAGCTCTACATAATATTCGTAATACAAGTAGTTCAACTCGATCAGTCTTAAGTAATAACAATATGAATACTGCTAGGAATAATAATAATCAGAACCCATTAGTTAATGTACGAGATAGATTGTTTCATGCAATATTTGTTAAGGCTGCATTAACTTATGCAAGGACATTTCCAAGGCCTGTCAGAAGATTTATAGAATTTATAGTTTTATTAAAGGTAATTATATTTTCAAACTTATTAATTTATTTACTAAAGTATCTTAACACAAATTAATTCTAAATTATAAAATTTTAGGCTATAGTAGCATTTTTTGTGTTGGCTTATATTCACATAGTATTTTCACGAACTCCGACAAACTGTCTAGAACATATAAGAGATGATTGGCCTCGAGATGGTATATTAAGAGTTGAAATACTTAGAAATGGAAGAGAGGATTATAGTATAGAAAAAAGTTACGCGAAAGAAGAAAAATTACGACAAGAAAAAGTTGATGATTTAACTAGTGCTTTAGGAATATTAACTAGAGATGGGTAAGACTGTATGTTATATAATAAAATTTTGATATTTATTTTCACCATTAAATATTAATTATTTTTTGTTATTTTATTTAATTGTTTTTCCACAGGTTTATCAATATTGAACCATCTACTGTTGATGAGGAGCGTGATACTGCTAATATGTCAAATGAAGGAAGTGATAACATAACATTATCTGAGGAAGATGTAGTTATTGGAGGTGCTACTATGTCTGAAGGAGAACAAGATCCAAATTTAAACATAAGTAATACCACAACAAGCTCTCTATTATCTACAAAACTCTGGAATGAAGTGAATGTAGATAGTAAAGAAGTAAATACAAATGACTAAATAAACTTTGAACATGTTATATATGTTTTGTATTAATCTATTAATAAATAATTAATCAACATTCCAGACATCAGATGAAAAGATAGTACCACTAACAAATGTACAAAATAATACTGTGGGACAAGATACAAATAAGTCTAGTAAAGAAGATATTATTCAACCTTTGAAAGAGCAGAGTTCTGAAGTTAGAACAGGTATAGTTATATCATAAATATTAAAGGATCTTATAATAGCATTCACATTTAATTTGAGAACGAAAGTGTTAATAATTATGATTTTACTTTTTGTCTTATTCATTTTACTTCTGATAAATATATCGTTATTTTTCAGATGATGGTTACATCGTAGAATATTCATTAGAATATGGTTTTTTGAGATTATCGCCTGTAGCACGACAAAGATTAAACATTCCTGTAAAAATTGTTACTTTGGATCCTGTTAACGATAAGTGCTTTGGCGATGACTTTTCAAGATTAATACTCGATGAATTCTTAGGGTACGATGATTTATTGATGGCAAGTATTAAGACATTGGCAGAACATGAAGATAATCAAGGTTTTTTACGGTAAATAAATTTATTTCTTTGTTCTTTTATGTAATTTAATGTGAGAGCTGTAATCAATTATATTAATTTTATTGCACAGAAACGTGATAACTGGAGAGCATTATCGATTTGTAAATATGTGGATGCCCAGAATTACATATCTTGCTGCATTTGTCATCATGATAATTTTCGTAAGTATACTTTTTAGTACAAACATAGAATAATAAGCTTCAAAAAGTTGGATACATAATAATTGTATGTGATTTTTAATATTTATTGCTGATAAATTGAATATCTTACTTCATCCCGCTAGTAACTTTGTAAATGCAAATAGTTACAATTAACATTGAAATTCGTTGTCTTCGTGTAAGGCTGATACTTGTTGTTATATGAAACCAAAGTATCAATTTTTCATTCTTTTATAATTGTGCTTTACGGTATCACGAACATTATCTGTAATAAATATGACTCTAGAATGTTCTGGAAGCGTAAATTAGATTTAGTTTCATGCGCTACGTGTTTTCGATCTGGATATATTCCACTCTGTCAAGGGAATGGTATCACATGTAACCACATGACAACTCAGTACGCGTAAAAGGATATGGCAATCAATTCAAAGTAACCACGCAGTGAGGTAACCCCCGTATAACTTTCCAACCCCTTGTGCCTTCACATCCTATGATCCCCTTGGAGTTGTACTGTCGGGTATAAATCAACGTTATTAGAGGCATCATATTCGTTACAGAGGTCCCAAGTCGGTGATTTTGTATCAAATTGTTCTCAAATACGCTATACCACATCCAATAAAAGATCATAATGACCATCAAGACTTTTGGATCAACTTAAATTACTAGTGACTATTACATCCGTCAACAGCCGCTTCAGTTGTAATCGATACACAAAACGAGGATTTTAATCGTGAAACTTAATATTCAATTTACAGTTAATTTCCTTTTTAGCAAGCAAATGTTATTCTGTATACAGTTTTTTTTATTAACGAATAATTTTTGCTTCGTAATCGAATAAGTGATTCGTGTCGATGTGTTATTAGTAGCTACATTTCAATATAAACACCATGTATGCCAGATGGATTGTGAAATTTCGGGTTATTCCCCGGGTGTTAGGAAGTGATTGGATCATATACGGACCAACGAATAACTCCACTCGCGTTTAATGGGTTTACGCCGAGCGAACAAATGAGTAATATTGCATACTGCTAACCATGATTCAAATGCAATGCATTGTGTAGCAGTCTATATATAGTTCATATCTAGATACTCACAATGAATATAGTGAAAAGCCAATCACTTTATGCATGAATAATTTTACTAGAAGAAATTTTCAAATATTAGAAGGTATATTTGCAAGATTATCAATTAAATTTACTTGTTAAAACTATACACATATGTCGGGTGACACACCAACTCTATCCATCCCAAATATCTCCATTATATTAAGAAACAAGCAAAAACATTACTTACAGAAGTTGTATATTGATAAAATACATAACATGGTAGCAATAGTTTGTTTGCAGATGGAGATATAGGGGAAATCCAGAAGTCAATTTTTTTTTTTTTTTTTAAATGGAATGTCCAATTTTTTATAATTAATTTTGAGTATAAAAAGGCTATAAGATACATTTATCCTAACACCCACCGTTCCTGAGATATTCGACTATGTATTTCAGCTGAATAAATTACGATTCCTTTATTTATTTATATGTAAAAAATTAGAAGTAACCCTAGCAATATAATATCAATAGACGGCTTCCAATGCGAGGTAAAGAAGAGACCAACTATAGTGGCGTTTCGTTTCAAAAGATCGCCTAGCGGAAAGCCACTATAGAGGCGCATAGTACCTAAAGGGTTAAATCTCGACGCGAAGAAATTGTTGCTACCATGTTATGTCTTTCATGCAACCATACAACTTTTGACACATTGTGCATTATATTATGTACAGTGTGAACCACCTAACTCGTGCACCTGAATAACTTCTAAACTATGCATTGGTTGAAAAATTGTTATGTGTAAAGATTGAAGGTCAACATTTTTCTTTTAACGTATTGTTGTACTTTTTATGACAAAATTCGAAAAAATGTTAGTTTCTTAATAGAAAAGTATGAACAATTATCGATCCTCAATAGTTAACGAGATACATATTTCGCTTTGCCCATCAAAGTCTTCGTTGATATTGAATTTTTAACTTGAAGTTCAGAAATTAACATTTTTTCAAATTTTACCATAAAATTACAATAATACATTCAAAAAGAAAAAAGTTGGCCTCAAAATTTCCGAACCGTATTCACACCTGTAAAAAAAAGTACACATTTTACCTAACGCAACTCTCGAAATCATGCAATTTTTGCATATAACAATTTTTCAACATTAATATACACACATATAAAATTGTATCATTATTTTATTGTTCAAATATCAATCATACTTCATGTTCACTTGTAATTAGAATTTTCACGCGTAAAAAGAGTTAAGTGTATATACAAAATCCGATATCGTTTTCATTTTAAACTGTTTCACATAAAATCATTCTTTATTACGTTAATTTATTGCATCTCGTGTAGTATATTCAAGTTCCATTGTGTTCTATTTCCACGGAAAATATTCGACGATAATTGTGCTAAATTAAAAAAAAAAACGCGTTGTCATTCTTTTGACGAGATGCATTGCTATATTTTACATACATACAACGTTGTTGCTAATGGTTCAAATGTAGTCTGTGGTTGAGAAGGGAGACGGATGAATCTCGTGCTACAACACGTGAATGTTACTTCAGTGGTTAGGGTGCTACCTGAATTACCCTTGGTCAACCCGCCGTAAAGTCACGTGTACAGGACTGTTGTCATCTATGCATTATCCCATATCTTCTCTGTCATGTGCACAAGACATTGTCTATTCTATGTTGCAACATGATGCAGTTTAAAATACTATTCTTTTCTATATCTCCTTTTTTTCTTCTGCACTTGTTTTCCTTTCTTTTTTCTCACAAGATTTTCTCCTTTTTACATCGTGGGTTTATGTACACTAAAGTGCAAGTCGATATGCGTTGTTTCTCAGATTTCGAATGAAAAATCTTTGCTTCGCGTGACATAGATCTCGAATAAATTATTTAATTTGGTAGAAAAATGATAAGGGTAAAAATTCAAAACAATTCGAAACTTCGCAGAAATTTAGTTCAATTGATGTTAATAACGAAACCATTTTTTGTTTCTGCAATGAAACGATCTTAGGGGTGAAAACATCCCCTCTAAAGAAATTCTGAGTTTTTCATATTATCGCGGATACTTACAAAGTTTTGCGGTTTTTCATGTCCTACATTTTGCTGGCAAAGAATTTTCGAAAAGTGGATAAATTTTGGAAAAATAAATCTTTCTCGGAAATTCTTTACCGTCGAGATACAAAAGTAACGGAATAATGCTCTATTTCTACTGTTTCGAAAGCCTGTTAGGGTTGTTAATATTTTTTTTTACCATTATATCCCAGTATTGAAACATTGTTACTTCAACTTTATTTCTTCTTTTCTGTACATGTTTAATTTTTCACCACATTATTGCTATTTTACGATAAATATTTAACATGCTGGTTATTCTCACATTTCTCAGATAAGCACAATTATTTGAAACGAAGAAAAATTGCTATTAGATCAAACTTAATTAATAAATATTCAAACTGAAAACTTTTTTTAGCAGCTTAAATTAAATAAAAAAAATAAAGAAAAGCATTAATACAGTTTGAAAGAAGAAAATGAAATCGCATCTGATTGTTCTATTTTGCACTAGATTGTTCATTAATAAAAGTGTACGTAATCGGTCTATTTTCATTGGGGTAAAAACAAAAGGAAGAATACTTGGAAGAATTTGTGTCCATATCTCGCAGGAGAGTAAATTCCTGTCAGAATATCGCGTTCAGACTAGTTTTATTTTTATCAGATTTCTCGTAAATAACATCGACACATCTGCAAAGTACGATTAAACGTTTCCGTTACCAAGGTTGCCCATAGCAAATAGTGAATTATCTCGGGGGTGTCAGGTGCTAGTTCAATCCGAATCGTTCGCAATTCAATTGCACTATTCGCTCTCAACCCGGTAACCGAGTGCGACCACTCGGCTTGCAATTTATCACGCATCATGTCTTTATTGCAGTTCTCCTTTTACAAAATAATAAATTTCATTTCTTCGATATTTTGTTTCTGGCGGACAAAATTATTCAAATTTCTACGCTCTGGGCTAAAATTTCCCGACACATTTTACCCGTTGAAATTTCTGCTTTACCCCAAACTGCAAAAAAAATCTTACGCTAATTTTCTACGCTAATTGGAATTTCCTACAGTATAAACAAATATCACGGTAGTTTATTTGAACTAAAAATTGTAAATTAGAAACTAGTACGAAATATTATTTAAACGATTAATTATCTAAATGAAAAAATTACCTGAATAATTATTCGATCGAATATGTTGTCGCTGTTAGAAAAGAATGCCCCACCATCGATCACGATATTTTGTATTTTTATGTTTTATTCATATTGTAATATCATAAATATGATACGCTAAATTTTCTTATTCACTTTTTCATGCAGAATTTTTTCTGTGTAATAACATCGAGTATGAAGCTCAATTCTGATTGTTTCAGACTATTTCCATTTCGATGTTGCTACGGTACTCACATCATCAGATCTTCGTCTTTATTGGTAAGTGATTGCATTTGATAATATTGTTAAAAGTGACTAGAATTGATAGTGCTTGTTTTCGTAATGCCATGAATATTAATTTATATATGTAGAATTGTTGAAATATCGTCGAAACGCGGAAAAATTATTAAAGCAGCGTAATGATATTTCATTTTTGCACTTGACGATATTCCAACCGACAATTTTGCATTTTATGTGTCCGTCAGAATTTTGTGAAAAATTTCAGTAAGCTTATGAACTTTTTTTTTTTTTTTTTTATCGGAATATTATTTGATAGTGTATTTATTCACGTAGGATCGACTCTGGTAAGTCCGTGATAGTTTTAGAATTTTTCTCTTAACATGTATCGAAAGTGAGTCGAGAATGTAACGACAAGTCGGATATCATACGAATAAATAATAGATTAACAGAATTTTATTAATTATATTTAATAAAAAAAAAAAAAAAATGCAGCGTTAAATTTTTACGGAATACTCTTGTTATTCTGTGACAGTTTCTGTTCATCAGTTACTTATTTTTACATCGAAAGTTGATAAACTGCTGATTGTGAAAATTTACCCTTTCGCTCCGTTATGGTTGCGAGAAAGTGTGACGACACTGACACTAAAAAGTTACCATTAAAAGAATAAAAACTTGTTTGAAATATAAGGAAACATTATTTCTGGTATTTATTTTCAGTTTTTCTCAAACAGTGCAATGAGAAACATAGGCACAGACATAAAAAGAACGAAGAAAATTTAGTCACTTTTTATAAGAAAAAAATGGCACTGATGCTTTTCTGTATGATAATTTTAAGATTAGGACTCGTTAAAGTGTCATGTATTATTAATATTCTATCTACTTTTTAAAATACATAAACAAGTAATCGTCTATAATTAGCATGAAAAATTATACAAATAATGCTCTCCTCGAACAGAAAAAGCTCAATTATACATACTAACTTCAACAGACCGAGTTTTTTACCGCAATATAAACTAGAACTTGTTTTCTTTCCTTTAACTAAAGTGAGTCTGAGCATATTTTTGTTAGAGATGAATGAAAAAGTATCACGGACTAAGCAGAGTTTACTCTATTACTTACTGTAAACTTGTCCCGATTCCAAATATTATACATACTTATGGATATTATTTAAATGCTTTCTTTTTCATGTGTTCAGTTGTGCATATTTACTAATAAAAGCTCGGTTAAGTTTCGAAAAAAAAAAAAAAAAAAAATGAAGACATTAAAATTATCGTTTACATTAACTTGAAGGACTAAGCAGGTACAAAAAAGTTAATATCGAGTAGTTCCGCAAAGAAATGTTCCCCGAGTTATCATTTTTTTTTCTTTTCTTTTTTTTTTTCGATCGATAATTTATATCTGATTCGATCTTCGATACGCAAAGGTAAATGTCCTCTATATCTGATAACTGAAAATAACGGAATTAATTGATTTCCGTATCTATCATAATATAAAATTCAAGCTAATACTGTTTTCAAAAAGGCTTTATCTACGAAAGGAAATCTTGAAAAATATTTGTTATCTGAAAATCTGAGATAAATACCCCCTTATCCATAGACGTTTGCCGGGGCTCCTGAAAAAATTGCTGCCTTCCCTCTTTATTCCGCTGCCTTTATAAAGAAGTATTTGCCAACATTTACATGTATTCTCAGTGGTTTACCGTCATTTGTAACGTGTCTTTGTAACGATGGAGGTATTATCTTTCACTACGTTCCAGTTGTTGGTGATTACCTTAATCACCATCGGTTTAATTATGCTCGTTTCGATGGGGTATCGATATGCTACATATTGGGAGAGACGCGGTGTTCCATACGTGAAAACGAGGCTACCTCTTGGAATTACGTGGACGGTCTTTCTCCGTCGTGCAACATTCCACGATCACTGCGAATTCATCTACAATTATGATCCCGACGTAAGGTACATCGGGTTGTTAGATTTTGGCACACCTGCCGTGCTCATACGGGATCCAGAATTGATCAAAGAGGTGGCCATTAAGAGTTTCGGTCATTTCCCGGACCATCGAAGTTTCGTCACCGAGGATATGGATCCAATTTTTGGGAGGAACGTGTTTTCATTGAGAGGTGATCAGTGGAGGGAAATGAGGAACACGCTAAGCCCGTCCTTTACCGCCAATAAGATGAAGTTCTTGTTCGACCTGGTTGCCGAATGTTCCCACGATTTCGTCGGTTATCTACACGCCAATCCGGGACTGTGCTCTATGATAGAGCTGAAAGATACTTTTACGAGGTACACGAACGACGTGATAGCCACGTCAGCTTTCGGGATAAGCGTGAACTCGATGAAAGATCCGAAGAACGAGTTTTACGAAAGAGGGATCGACGTGTCGAGGTTCAGTGGTACATTGAGACTCATGAAGTTCATGTTGCTCCGTGCATGCCCGCGCCTGATGAGAATGGCCGGATTCACGTTTCTCAGCCCTGCGTCGTCCAAGTTTTTCTCGAAAGTGATCTCTGAAACTGTGCAGGCAAGAGAAGAACAGGGTATCGTTAGACCAGACATGATTCATCTTCTATTGCAGGCCAGAGACACGAGGGAACCCGGTGCTCAGATGGCCATCGACGATATCGTTGCTCAGGCGTTCATCTTCTTTTTGGCCGGTTTCGACACAGTTTCTACCTTGATGTGCTACGTAGTTTACGAGCTAGCTTTGCATCAGGACGTTCAGCAGAGGCTGAGAGAAGAAGTTGATTGCTATTTGGCCGAGAGAAACGGAAAAATCTCGTACGAATCTCTGTCGAAGATGGAGTACATGGAGATGGTAGTATCGGAGGTGCTTAGACTGCATCCACCGTCGTTAATAACAGATCGACTGTGCTTAGAGAAGTTCAATTTGCCACCAGCAGGACCTGGTTACAAGGGTGTCACTGTAAATCCAAACGACGGTCTCCTGTTCCCTATTTACTCGTTGCATCGTGATCCTAAGTACTTTCCCGATCCGGAGAAGTTCGATCCTGAACGATTTAACGAGGAGAACAAGGCCAAAGTTAATCCTTACGTGTACATACCTTTTGGAGTAGGTCCTCGAAAATGTATCGGCAATCGTTTTGCATTGATGGAGACTAAGATTTTGATGGTTCATCTGTTGCATAAATTTCTTATAAAACCGAACAAAAGGACGTCGATTCCACCTGTGTATAAGAAGGGTACTTTTACGTTGGTTCCGGAAGACGGGCTTTGGATTACATTGGAGAAGAGGGAGGATTAGATCGAACGTTAATTATATCATTTCTTATTTTATAACTGTTGTTATTATTTTCGCAATTTATATTGTATTCTTAAGGGGTAGTGGTTTCTCTTGGTTTGTTGGATAAAATAAAGCCAATAAACATGGTTTCAATGGAATTATTGCGATGTTTGCGATTAATAAAATTCGACTCGCGACAATCATGATCATTTGAATTTCAATAAAATTCTCTCTTCGTTTTTGTTTTCGTTCTATTTCCTTTTGCTTCTATCTTTGTGTTCGTTTTTTTTTGTTCCGTGTACATTGGAAATTCGTTTTACTTCCACCGTTTGTTTCGTTTTATAATTACATAGATGCGTTTCAGGATATCAAACGTGATTAATTTCACGGAACTGTGTGATTTCGTAATTTCGCTAATCGTTAAGAAAAAGATCAACACGCATGTGTTCTTCCTTCAGCGTCGTTCTTTTTATCGTTTATCCTTTTTAATTGGTCGTATCACGCTTCTTGAGTTATTTCTACTCTGAAGAATACAGATGAAACAGAAACCCACGTTGTAGCGCAATACAACGTGGTATCACTTATCTAATATAACACACGACTCTCTTTTGTATATTCCCTCTTCTTCTACTGTACTCACAATGATAAACTTCGTATGTGTAATATATATATTCGCTCATATATATGTAGGAACTTGTTAGTCACGAACGACAGTTACTCTCGGTCGGGACTGCAAGATGGAGATTCTGTCGTCCACAACGACGTTTAGTTTATTGGTGATCACTTTTATCACGATAATAGTATTCAAATTCTTGGCCTCGCTCCATCGGCAACAGAATTACTGGAAAAACCACAATGTGCCGTATATTAAACCAGTGCCAGTGCTTGGACCAGCTTTGAAATTTTTGCTTCGTCAAATAACATTTATCGAGTACAGCGAGCTCGTTTATAATTCTTATTCGAACGCGAGGTACATCGGAACGATGAATTCTTCTTTGCCGAATTTGGTAATTCGCGATCCCGAATTGATCCGTGAGATAACAGTGAAATACTTCGACCATTTCACCGATCACAAAGCGTTCGTCGACGAGGACATCGAGCCTCTGTTCTCGAAAAACGTCTTCATGCTGCGGGGTGAACGTTGGCGGGAGATGAGGAACATCCTCACGCCGACGTTCACGGCCAATAAAATGAAGTTCATGTTCGAGCTGGTGTCGAAGTGTTCGCAACAATTTGTCGATTATTTGTACGATCATCCGGAGGAATTCTCCTCGTTAGATGCGAAAGACGCATTCGGTAGATACACTAACGACGTGATCGCCACCGTTGCTTTCGGAGTGAGTGTGAATTCTTTGAAGGATCGCGATAACGAGTTCTACAGAAAGGGAAAAAGTGCTTTCTCCGGCCTGTTCGGCAATGTCGGGAAACTCACATTGATGGGCATATGTCCGGCTTTGTTCAAGATAACAGGAATCACACTTATACCGCGTGATACCACGGACTTTTTTCGCGCGGTCATATTGGAGGCTTTGAAGGCACGTGAGAAGGATGGTATCGTTAGACAGGATATGCTGAATCTGTTGATACAGGCGAAAGATAAAGACAAACCTACCGTGCATCAGATGACCGTAGACGATATCGTTTCTCAGGCACTTATATTCTTCTTGGCTGGCCTCGATTCCACTTCGAATTTGATGAGCTACATGGCGTACGAACTGGCTTTGTGTCCAGATGCACAGGAGAGGCTGCGTAAAGAGATAGATGGTTGCTTGCAGGAAGGGAACGGCGAGATTTC